AGACTTGTCAGTGGTCACAATATAACCGTGTCGTCCATTAAAGACTTGTCAGTGGTCACAATATAACCGTGTCGTCCATTAAAGACTTGTCAGTGGTCACAATATAACCGTGTCGTCCATTAAAGACTTGTCAGTGGTCACAATATAACCGTGTCGTCCATTAAAGACTTGTCAGTGGTCACAATATAACCGTGTCGTCCATTAAAGACTTGTCAGTGGTCACAATATAACCGTGTCGTCCATTAAAGACTTGTCAGTGGTCACAATATAACCGTGTCGTCCATTAAAGACTTGTCAGTGGTCACAATATAACCGTGTCGTCCATTAAAGACTTGTCAGTGGTCACAATATAACCGTGTCGTCCATTAAAGACTTGTCAGTGGTCACAATATAACCGTGTCGTCCATTAAAGACTTGTCAGTGGTCACAATATAACCGTGTCGTCCATTAAAGACTTGTCAGTGGTCACAATATAACCGTGTCGTCCATTAAAGACTTGTCAGTGGTCACAATATAACCGTGTCGTCCATTAAAGACTTGTCAGTGGTCACAATATAACCGTGTCGTCCATTAAAGACTTGTCAGTGGTCACAATATAACCGTGTCGTCCATTAAAGACTTGTCAGTGGTCACAATATAACCGTGTCGTCCATTAAAGACTTGTCAGTGGTCACAATATAACCGTGTCGTCCATTAAAGACTTGTCAGTGGTCACAATATAACCGTGTCGTCCATTAAAGACTTGTCAGTGGTCACAATATAACCGTGTCGTCCATTAAAGACTTGTCAGTGGTCACAATATAACCGTGTCGTCCATTAAAGACTTGTCAGTGGTCACAATATAACCGTGTCGTCCATTAAAGACTTGTCAGTGGTCACAATATAACCGTGTCGTCCATTTAAGACTTGTCAGTGGTCACAATATAACCGTGTCGTCCATTAAAGACTTGTCAGTGGTACTGAAGGAATGAAATTTAATGAACATTTCATTTCTAAGGTCTTCCGGATAATGTGTAGAATACATAGAAATGCGATGTCATGCGGACACGTGGTATATGTTTCCTAGAACTGTTAACTACTTTTGACGTTAACAGTGGTGCAGTTTGTCAGATTGATCCATGTCACCACCAGAACGCGATCAAACCACACCACTAGATCCAGTTTGGTTAAAATATAATTTTTATAAGTCTAGGCATATACGAATTACACAAATCATGTTCTGGTTTGTATGCCGCTCATCTTTGACATTAACCTCGCGCGCTGTGTTAAACAGCTAAGTATGTTAATGGTTAATTAGAGGAAATGCCAGCGGATATCGTGATCACCTGCATACTCTAAGGAAACCACACTATACAATGTGTATTCAACTCTCCATGTAGGCTTAAAACAGCTATATCATAATATCGGTGAAACAAACTTGAGCTGCTTCAAAAGACAACATGAATATGGAAATGAAATTTATCATTTATTTGATTTCCACGAAATACTAAAATTGAATCTTTCCAAACTTATCAATATTTGTTTTTTTAATTACGTTTTCAATATCTAGATGAACGAACCTGTTTGCTGGAATCAGGTGCATGGAAATTTGGATTCATCTCTTTTTCCTCCCCTTTATATTCATCTGGTTTGATTCCCATGAAATATTTATACTATATCGCCGAAAACATGTTATCATTTATTTACGTATATCAAGGGTCTAGATGAACTAGCCTTACGGTATGCTGGAACATTACACTTTTTAATTATAATGATAGTGTAACGAGTAGAATAATGTTAAATCAACAAAACTTTGTTAAGATGATTGCTGATGAAATACCTCTGATCAGAGCTTCTCGAAAGCAAACATCCTGTGACATTTATTTACACTAACATTTACCTGTCGTCTGCTTTTTGTAAAGCAAAACTGGTACCACATGAACGATAAAACACAAAATGCCATTGACTGAAATGTCTTTCTTTTCTAGAAATTGACCACACTGCCCCAGGCATCTTTTAAACATGTTTTCGATAGGGGTGGGTATTGCAAGCGATTTGATATTGCAATGCTTAAGGAATATTGGATTTTACTTTACATTGTACCTTTAAAAAAAGTGTTTTTATTATGATGTTATATAGAAAATTCGAAAAGTTAGGAACAATTTAACAAGCATGGGTGATAAATTAAAATTGTTTTGTATGGTTTTGGATGTTATCAAACCAAGCAGGTTAATTTTTGATTTTATTCGTTCAAACTTAACAATATATATGTAAAATGATTTAATAACTGCTTAGACTTCCGAATAATTGCAATTGCAATACATAACCATTTTAAAATCATATTACTAGATATATATGACAATTTATTGCAATATAACGACAAACCAATAAAACGATTAAAAATCAGTCTTTTGTTTCCTTTGTCTTAGTGCCGTCTTGTAATAATTCCTGGTCGATCAAGTAATAAGAGAATAACATGATCATTAACAGATTGGACTTAACGTAAGGCCAATAAACTAATAGACAAGTATACGGTAAACATGCACGTAGAGCGGGACGCCTGTGGGTCAAACCCACTGACGTAGTCACCTTGAAATTACGTAGGGTCAACCTGATCCAATACGTCATTATATGATCGACTTAAGCAAATAAAGAAACGAAACGAAACGAAGCCGACGTCGAACGGGTCTTAATGACCAGTTCTTATGTGAAATAAAGAAACAATTATTACCGTGTTTTTATAGCAATGACCTTAACTTACACCATGTATAGATCTAATTTAATGAGGTTGGGGGATATGTGATGTTTTGATATACTTTTATTACGACTGCCGAGTATCGATCGTTGGATAACAATAAGACAATTTATATTAATAGTACTGTCATATAACAAGTATCATTCGAATCAGAATAGCCCAAAGCTTTTCATTGGACAACGGGTAACGTACATTGAACAATAACTACAGGTCACAAATACTTGTTACCCCGACAGCTACCAACAAGAATCAAGAAGCGTCACCAAAATCGCAAGCTCCCAGTGGCATCGAATAAAAGTAAATTGGGCAGAATGTTCAATGAAAAGGAACCACGTGTCATATAAATTGAATAGAAAAACCAAGTCGAATACATTGAATAAAAGCCACAAGTCAAATACATCAAATAGGGACCACAGATCACATATTACACATACAGGCTTTACAATAAACCCTCATCGACCTTCATTCTTTCCGTTGTGTTTGTTTACTTCTTATAGAACATGCATTGCTATTGGCAGTAAACAATTGCAGCGGTAAAACGACCAGTAGTCAAACAATTAATAGAAACTTCTTAATTGTTGGTCAAGGTACAGGACGTCTAGTTTTGTTTAGACCGCAATTGGTTCCGTTATATATATTTACCATTGATAATATCCATGTTATTGTACGTCTTTTATGACTTCAGATTGTTGATGAAAATAATGCATTCACTACCATTGTTGAAGTCGATAAAACCAATGGATTCTGCACCGCTGCTGAAGTTGGTGTTACCGTACGTCCTATTGTCTTAACACGGTAATTGGAACCAATATTTTTTAACGATTGCATTTTTATTGTATGCCCCTTAAGTTTAAAGAATTCAAATGGAAATTGTGGTAACCGATGTGTTGTAAAACACACGGCATAAAGAATCTTAATTAGTTATGTCCTTAGACCGTAGATGAAATCAGTTAATGCATTCTTTACCGTGGATTACTTTCCCTACTGTACACCTTCCATCCTAACACCTTCTCACAGTAACTGTTTTCCTCTTTAAGAAGGCGACCGCAAAAGTTATAATTTGAGAAATCATGAACACTTTATTGTCCCTAATTTCTAATTGTCTAGTTCATGCCAATCCTTCATCCTTTTTCAATAAGACTATGTAACGATTTACCAAACACTATAAGAGAACACGTAAACTGCTTTAGATAGTTAATTTAACGTAAACAAAAGTATTTGTTACCGAACTATTTTAATGTTGGCAATCTTAATATGAACGTTTTGTGTACACTGTTGCGTCATTCGTATAGGAGTTTAAAGTGGGTGTGATTTGTACGCAGTTGATATCATAAGTGATCCGGCGGGTGAATGTGGAAATGAACATGAAAATGCAGTACAGTTTTTTTCATTGTATTAACGACAACGACAACGTTTTATTAATGATTTCTCCCATTATTGAAAAAGCACTGCAGCCCTGTCTGATGACAAACTTTCATTAAAAAAGATAAAAGATTTGAAAGTCAAAAGCTGTTATCGTCTCATTTCTCTTTCTCCTCAAATTTCTCCCCTCTCCTTCCTTTCTTTTCTTCTCCATTCATATAGAAATGTTTTGATGTTTATGTTTGTTATTGCTTGGAGAAGGCGTTTCGAATTTAAGATCACTTGTGTCTGATCCGCTTTTTGTTTATTGACATATAAAATATCTTTAAAATCAAGAACCAGTTTGTTGCAACTGTACTTTCTTTATGCTTTAAGACTGTAAAATTGTACAATTATATTGATTCTCAATATGGACTTTGTTTGTTCATGGCTGGAAGTTTGCTTTTGACACGAAGCCAAGAACAATTTGCCAACTCTTATAGCAAAACAAAATGTTGATCTCTTTCTAGCTGCATCAAATTCATGTTCATTACGGCGCCATTAACTTGAAACGTTGATGTTTTAGTTTTACTTGATTCTACAAGAAAATGACAATGCCTAAGTTCCGTCCTTGACCAATGTCCGGTCAGGATGTTGTTATAGGAAAACCAGGAAGCAACGTCTTCGACACCTCCGCAGTTATACGTTAATTACGAGACCCAATCATCAGATGGCATCATAGCCATTTTTACTCTGACCTTTGTTCCGCACAATCTACATTTGAACCCAGGATTGCTTGACATTTTACTCTAGAAGATCGTAATAGAGAAGACGTTTGCCTGTTTTTCGTCAACACAGCGTCATCTGTACATATTTCATTTACCTGGTATGGCCAGAGGGAGAATCAGTGGAGCGTGACTACGCACGGCCCAAGGCACACACGTCGTACCGGTAATCATGGAGAGGCGCTGGCGACCACGGTAGAAGAAGGTGGACAGCTTCTCAGATCGGGAGTATCGGAAGCGGCGAATACATCGGCTGCGCAGACTCGGCATTAGTCGCTGGAAGGGTAGATCGCGTGGTACGTCAGTAGTAAGGTACATTCTTTGAGTGAGTACGTACCTTTATGTAGGAGTCTGGAGATAGAAAGAATGCCTCTAGGCGCACACCTTAATGAGTGTAAACTGCACGAGCCAATGAAGGAAACAGGAAAAAACCGCATTCTCCTTGGTTGGATATAAGCAAAACGTCAATTTTTGGTTTTTCTTGTGTTTTGGATTATGGGAATCAAGTATGAACTTTTCTGCTTTGTGGCCATTACTGTGATATCGTGTTCCGGACAATGGAATAAATTCCAGGTAGGTATTTAAAAGGTGGCTGGGTACTTATTACTAACTTGTATCGGACAAGTAAACTACTATTACATTGAACATTTTAATAAGTTTTAAATGAGGACACATTAGGAAATGCGGTGAAGTTCTGCAATGGATTAGCAGGCATACATTCACCCAAAAAGCATGACGTGAACAAAATGAAACAGTGGTAAAAGGCTTGCATCAATTTTCATATTCAGCAGTTATGTTCAAAGTGTATTCCAGAAAATAGAAGCATGCGTTATTTAAAAATGAAAACTAGTATTAAATGTCAAGCTGTCATCAGATCAGACGTAAGGAAGTGTTCAAGACAACACTAATTGTCGTTGTTTTACCTTCAATGACACTTCAGTCTTTATGATATGTAGTGAAGTGTTACTATTTAGTTTTTTCGATATGTTATCTTACATTGTAAATATATTTTTGTGGCGTATTAATAACGATTTCGCAAAAAAAAAAATGGTATTTTATCACATTAGTTTGTTTCCACAGACGCATATACGATGCGTTTTTAAATATCATTTTTCGATGCATGCTATATTTTTTTCTTGAGATTCAATGTTAGAAAATCTTTCTCTTTTTTCCGAATACGTGTATATAGAATGAACACCCGCATCATTAGTTCGCGGAAGGAACGCGACGCAAAATCGACTTTAATATATAATAGTGATAGTCATATACAGATGTGTAAAGTAATGACATTACGTTCTGAATGTTAAGGAGTTATTTGTATCTTCGTGAGAATACTTTCCAGTGTGTCAACAGTCGGATGAACGGTCTGTACACATGTGTTTGACATCCCTAAGTGGCCGTGATGAATACCCTGTCTAAATCGGACTGTTTACCAACACATATGAGACGATCATTATTATACAACTGGTTCGTTTTTTATCGTTTTAGAGGTTATACACGACTTGCTATGGTTTCATAGGTTTTACCTTGTTTTACGCTTTCTTCGAAATATTTTTATCATATATCAGACGTATATGCCACATGGCTTTATATGTCTCTGTGTAGAGATATCTTACAATAATAATAAAAAGGATGCAATTCTACTCTAGTATATGAGGTGGTTTCTTTTATTTATTTATTGTACGAAGTTTTAAACAAACATTTATTTGCATGAGTTGAAACGTAAATAAATAAATATAAATACCAAGTTGGTTCTCTTCAGCGTTAATACTACACTTTTCGTTAGGAAGCTATTTTGGGAAACGATCTATTTTCAAGGTGACTACTTTTTGATGTGGTTGATTGCTAAAAAATAGATAATAAAGACATGTGTGGTTGAATTATGACTGAATGGATGTATTTCTGAAGTGGAGAGGGGTGAATTTGGTAAAGGAACGGCTAAAGTGTTATTAATAAGTTAGCGATGGAGGACTTCCTGAACTCCAGTAAACACACAGTGTTCGCTATATAATACCAAACGAACAATCGGAGGGTAAGAAGAGAAAGACGCATCTAATTTTGTTAGGAGGTTTTCTTATCTTTGTTTCTCAGAAATGTAGCTTCCTTTAATCACGTAAGTGCGTAATGCAATTTTAAACAAATTATATAGACAATAATGTAATGTATTAATGAAAACAGTAAAATCTATCTTAATGTTTAACTTCAGTAACTACATATATAGTCTTGTTGGATTTGTATTTTACCGCAAGGCGTTAAAGTGATAGTGTTCAAATTACCACTGATAATTTGATTGACACGAGAATCGAAAATTGACACATTTTTTCTTACAAATTATTCATATGGGTTTGTTCTATCGAATCCAATCATACAAAGCGGAAGTAGGGTATGGTGTACAGTGGGTGTATGATTGATTACGTCATAAAACGTCACGGCAGAAATGATGTTATCTCGTAGCTAGTTGTCACGATGTGATATATAGATTATTTACATAAATTTGCTTTTGGGTGATTTGTTTTGAAAATCGGGTGTTTAATTAGTGTTGTCAGCACTTAATGTAAACTATATTTCATTTTTTTTCTCATTTACCGTATGATATAAAGCAATACACAACTTTTGAGATTGGATTTTGGAAACAAGTTTTACAACTTATGTAGATCCATCTCCAGTTGAAGAAATACATAGGATATTTGAGGACCACATGTTTTATGACTTTAATATTTGAGAAAGAAATATGCAGAAAAGCGTCGAGTATATGAGTCAAAAACGGAATATAGGGGAAGGTAGGATAGGAAAGAGAAGGGCAAGAGAGTTGCTCAGATTAACCCTGTATTAATATAAAACAAATGGTATTACACGCCAGTCCAATGTTAGGGTGTATTACACGCCAGTCCGAGATAAGGGGTGTATTATACGCCAGTCCAATATAAGGGGTGTATTACACGCCAGTCCAATATAAGGGTGTATTACACGCCAGTCCGAGATAAGGGGTGTATTATACGCCAGTCCAATATAAGGGGTGTATTATACGCCAGTCCAATATAAGGGGTGTATTACACGCCAGTCCAATATAAGGGGTGTATTACACGCCAGTGCAATATAAGGGGTGTATTACACGCCAGTCCAATATAAGGGGTGTATTACACGCCAGTCCAAGATAAGGGGTGTATTACACGCCAGTTCAAGATAAGGGGCGTATTACACGCAATAAGCAATCACCCATATACTATTGACAAACCAGCCCTACCACTCATGTTCTTTTAACAAACTAACCCCATATCAACCGTATATTACTGGCAAACTAGCCCTACCATCAATATTTTATTGACAAACCCCGTCACGGACATATTATATAAACTAACCAACAATCCATATATTTTTGACAACCTACCACTACCATTCATGTTTTATTGACATTTCCATCGTGTTTGTTCTCTCTCTCTGTTTTCTATCAGTTACAGACTAAGACGTTTGATTTAAAGCCTGTTATGAAAATATCTAGGCGGCTTCGCTAATAAATTATTCTGAGCTCGACTGTTAATTTGACAGTGTCGGTGTTTAAATGTTTATATTATAGGTTTATAGTGATGAGGTACAAACATATACTAATTAGTTATGTGTCATCAGGCCCATATATCGTGACGTCATTTATGTATTAGGACAGGTGAGGGGGCGGAGCCCAGTGGTTTAATTATCGATGTTACAACCTGGTTGGTCCATAAATGGCCATCAAGACTATGTTTTGGTATTGGAAGGAAGTCAGCGCGAATATACGGTCGTAAAATTGTTCTAAATGAGGATCAGTGTTAGAACAAGGCAGTTAAGGTCACGAGAAGTAACGAAATGTTTACTTCATATTTCTCTAAAATAGCGGACGTGACAAGTATAATGGACCAAATAAATAGCCAATAGCGATGTTCCTCTGTTTGTGTTTGTCCGGGAAACTACAGAAATAGCCAGTAAAATATGTACAACTCCAATATCATTAAACTCTATGAGACCAAAAACTAAAAATAATACAAAACTTCCCGGAGCTTTTTACAACGAACTCCTAAAATATAAAGCAGGTTTCATTGTATTCAGTACAAAATATACTCTCCTTTTAGTTTTTTTGGAGGAGTGTGTTTTTACAAGGAATGTAAAGTTTGTAGCGAGCGAAGCAAGCGAGAAGTTTTGTTCATGCAGTTCTACAGTGTCATTATTTTTCCAAGCAATAAATATTGATGGAATTTTAATCGTGGACATAAACTATATTTTCAACTATATAAAAGCCAGAATGAATGACATGCTATTTATTTGCATGATGCTCAAGGCCAGACTATTTATTTCCAAATTATGCCCTTTCCCTTTTCATGATAAATGGTCGCCCCCTAAGATTGAGAGTGTCACGACACACTGGTGGTGATGTATAAATGCAATGTTTCGTGATCTGTCACTTTTGTACAGTTAAAACAAACTACTTTAAAAGCTAGAATCGTCATAACTCAAAACGCACATTAATTACAACACTTAGTCATAATATCGTGTCTTTAATTTGATGACCCCGAAAACCCTGACAAAAAGACAACGTTCATTTAAAAAAGATTTACGGCAGTTAGACTTTATACTCGATATAACTCTTTAGTTTTCTACATTGGATTTTTTCAGTTTGTTTAGTGCATGTAACTTGCAATAAGACAAACCAGCTTTGCCTTAAAGTACTGTTGCATTTGGTATGCGAATGAGTTTGTTTGCCACAGTTGACAAGTTCCGTTGGTTGCTATGGTAATAAGTTGGGGTATGTACCTATTGGTTGAGACTCATCAATCATACCTGGTCGACCCGGACCCCCGCGAGCGTTCTACACCCGAAAGTCTAACGGATATCACTTGGTATACGTCAATAATAAAACGTCAATATTTATAAGAGGTTATATACCAGTCTCTATTCCGAAAGTCCTACATAAAATAATGACTTGGGAATATTGGCTAAAAGTGGCATCAGGATGGAGTTTTTTGTCAGAAAGTTTCGAATAATAAAGCAACTTTCAAGAACTCAGTTTTTTCCTATTTCTCCATCCTCACGCGAAGCGTAAGGAACCATGTGAAATATTGGTTAAACTCTGAATTCCTTTAAGTTCTTTATCGTTTGTTTGCAAAATTTGCACCTTATTTGGACCTCATTTAAGCAAAAAAAAAAAGGAATGCAAAAATATACGGACAGAACATCTGGCATTTTCCTTGTTTAGTTAGAAATAGCAACAAGTATTCTTATGGTTGATGTTACTCCATATACTAGTTCAAGAACAATTGTAGACTAATGGACAGGTGGACAAATACTATTTAATATACAGATAGGACCACGCCGTCCTACCAGTTAGCGTAGATGTGCATACGGCCGAGGACTATTGACCATAGATGTTAAAAAACAATTCTGCAGGATTTGCATGAGTGATACATCTGTAGTGTTTGATTGACCCCGCCTTGTTGGCCCCGGATCAAGCCAGTATGATTCACGTACCTTAGCCATTAGTAGATCCAATCACTTGTGTACATTACACCATTCATTTTCCCAATCAAATTCGCTTTCCGAAAACG